TAAAATTAAATTAAATTAAATTATTAGCTCTTAAATTGAGGATCGGAATGAATATTATAATCCACCATGAGTAAGTAAATTTTAGTATATACAAAATATATATTTTCAAATTTTGATGTGTTTTTCTTTCAAAGTTTGATGTTGATAAATCTACAAGATATATAGAGAAAGGTCAAATCCCAATAAACTAATTTCGTACGCTTAATGAAAGCAAATACTCTATGATGGCTTGAAATTTTCTTTCATGGTTAGCTAATTAACATCTCACATATGTGCGTATAGAGAGAGAGAGAGAGAGGCATCCTGTGTTTTCAGAGTAGTTATTATTAGAAAAAATATGTTTCTATAGTGTGTTCAATTATAATTGTGTTTTCTATATGCATCTCAAACTTGGTTTTTATTTTTCCTATTAGTTGATTTTTTGAATAATTTGGCACCACAATTTTTCAAAGCTCAAGTGGCAAATAACTTCGTCAATGATTTCTTCCCCAATTTTAAAGCTTCATTATCGGTCGATGTAATATTATATTATTAGTTTAAATAAGGGTCACGCTCTCATAAACCTTTGGTGAGCTATGGAGTCTTAATTACCAACTTTACGTAAAATGTTTATAATGCTGAGGCCAATTAACTCCATGTGAAATAACGTCCTTCTAATGCAATAGTAAGAAAGGCCACAAATTAAATATTCAAACTAATAGTGATTAATTTCACGATTTTCAAATATGTGATGACTGATACATAATGGTTTGAACATAGTGCCGTCACATATGATGAGGCGAAAATCGTGTGAACTAATAAGTGACAGTTAAAAAAAAAAACAACTACCAAATATCTGTAACAAATACGTGACAATCTGTAACAAATACTTGACAATTAACATATATAACTGTCACTTATTTTTGACATATTTTAATTTTAATAAGAGGAAAACTAAATCAATACGTGATGGTTCTCAACATAAAATTATTCTACTGTGATCCCACTTCTTAAGGATCTACTGTGTTTTAATTTCAAATTTAATTTTGGAAACCGTTACGTTGATTCGAAATTCTATATAAGCCTCAATCCTTTTTATATTATATTTCATTGCTTTCATCTCTACTGTTCAACACTGGAGTAATCACGTCGTCCAAACACTCGAGGAAATGATACTTCTAGCACAACTGCTAATGCTACCCTCTATCAAGTGGAGGTTTTGGTGAATGTCACTAGAGAATTGACTAAGGCTTATCAGAAGTTCCTACGTGAGGAAGCGCCATGCATAGCAGCCAAGCAGAACAAACTCATCGAGTTGGTTTAGTCCCAAGACAAGAAGATGAACAGTGTGACTAAGAAACTTGGGGTTTATAAAAATGATTCCCAAGATCTTTTTTTGTTTTCTAGTGATAATAAGAAGGAGGATGACAGTAAAGACGCTTAGGGCGAGTTTCTTTGCATTTTCTGTTATCATTCCTTTTCATGTTATGTTTTATTTGTTTTTTATTTTGTATTTTGTAATATCAGCAGTTTTAGAAGAAAAAAAGTTATACTCCTCCGCTCCTTAATATAAGACATATTTAACTAATTTTATTAGATTAAAGAAGTTAAGTAAGTTAGTTAATTATAAAAAATATGACATGTTTTTCCTAAAATACTATAATCATCTTTCTTAATATTCTCCCTCTCTTACTTACTTGATTATGGTTGTAGGAGTATTCAGAGAGGGTAATTTAAAACAAATCGATAAATATGAGAAATAAATCTTATATTTAGAACCAAAATTAACTTAACAATTATGTCTTATATTAAGGATTGGAAGAGTATTTTGTAACAGTTTTGCTCATAGAAACCGTCACGTATTGAAATTCTAATAATGTATACTTAAAAAAAGTTTGATTTTACTAAAATATAATGATTTTGTTTTGACAACCGTCATCTTTTTCAAAATACGTGTCAGTTTTAAACTCACAACCATCACGTATTTCTCATTAAACACCTGCAAATTGGCACTCCCTGAAATTTATTTTGCCAACTTTAACAGTATAATTTTTGTCGATTTTATATAATTGATAATTTTATAAAAAATTATGTTCAATTAGTGCATGTAAAAATTGGCTTTTATTTATCCTATTAGTCGATTTTTTAAAAAAAAAAATTGGCATTCACAATTTTTCAAAGCTGAAATGGCAAATAGCTTCGTGGATAATATTTTTTTTTTGGCATTTTAGAGTTTCATTATGGGTCAATACTACTTCTGATCTTTAATATAGAAGTTAGTTTTACTTTTAATTTGATTCTAATAAGACCGTAATCTACTTTGTCTTTCATAATTATTCATTTTTCCTATGGTAGTCCTTGTAGTATGGAGTTGCATATGTTAAATATTTAATCAAACGATACTTGATTAGTAAGAGTATTTTAGGTAAGACTACACATATTTATTACAAATAACTAACTTAATTAATTTTCTTAATATACTCAAATTAGTCGGCTAATTTTTATATTAAGGGCATGAGGTAACATTAATTATTATCATAAACAATAGTCCCGTTCATAAACCTTTGGTAAGCCATAGAGTCTTAATTGCCATTTTTATGTAAAATGTTTTCTAATGTAAGACCAATGTCCTTCTAATGTAATAATAAGAAACACTGGCGCAAGTTGCAGCATCTTGGACTTAAATTTCTTTACAATATACTCTTTCAATTCTAAACAGAAGACTCATTTTATGACTGAGTATGAATTAAGACCGGAGTAGTATGAATTATGAACCATAGTTCCATTCACCGCCCTCTTTTTGTGGCTGAGTTCCATATGTAAAGATGTATTTTAAAAAAATAAAAAATAAAAAAGTACCCATGATCTATCACAATAATAAAAAAGGCCACAAATTAAATATTCAAATAATAGTGATAAGAAAACAATGCATGTTGAGAGAACTTTTTGTTATTGGGTCTGATCCAGCTCAAATCTGAACTAACATGTATTATATCATTTATCAATCAAATAGTTTATTTTAAAAATGCTGTCATTGTGGGAAAAAACATGTTTGGTTCAATTGAATGCCTCAGTATTAAATGTAATTAATTTTATTGTACTAGTTCAATTAAACGTAGAATCTAGTTAGAGAATTGGTTTTGGTTCTAAATACAAAATCTTCATCCATTTTATCTTTTATATTTCTCACTTTTTTCTAATTAATTTATCTAACTTATAAACTTATATAATATAATGTTACATATATATATTTTAAAGAGATCTCATGTCAAGTTTATAAGAATCAAGTAACATATTTTGCTTTCTTAGCCTATCCAAACTAATTAAGTAACTTTTACATTAATTAAGAACGAGAGGAATATTTTGCTAATTCATGATGTTTGGTTGGTATAATGAAGCAATCCAATATAAATTTAATTACAACATTTATATTACAACAAATCATGTAAGTCTATATACCTTTAGGTTTGTAAGTAAAATTCAGATGTTCATGCATCAACACATAGACACCTGTCTCTAAAGAATAAATATTTGGATTTATATACCCTCCTTTTTCGGTCCTTACATAGAGTAAATTTTTTTATTTCACATTTATTTTTATAGTTTAAGATAAAATATGAATTTTATTTTGGGTTAAGATGCATCCAACACCCCAAAGTATTTTCTTAGGTATATCCAGCATTCTAAAATATTTTATGGTGCATCCAGCACCTGAAACATCTTGTGATGTATCTAGCATCTTAAAGTATTTTTTTTACGTGTGTCCAGAACCCAAAAATATTTTTTGGTGCATCTGGTGCCAAGGCAAAAAAAATACTTCAAGATATTGGGCGCTTCTTAAAAATACTTTGGCTGCTAGATGCATCATAAAAAATATTTCGAGATACTGGATGCACTTTAACCTTTTTATTTTTTGATTGTATAATAATATATCAAGCCAATGCTCTTTAATTATCATTCAATTACGTCACATTCCCTACCATTTCTAATGCAATGTCATCAACTTACCAATTAAACTTTATTTTCAACAGAATAAGAAAAAAGAAACTAAAATATGAAATGTAGAGAACCATTTTAATGAAGGATCATTTCAACCACAAATTAAGATATTGACAACAAATGCAATTTGAAATCTATAGTTTGAGGTGCGGGTTATTGGCCAACCCACCATAATTTTGCATAAATTTATAAAGATAATAAAAAAAATGTAGACAATGCCAAGTTGCCAACTCATCAAGTCACTGAATGTATATTTGACATAAATTGATATAACTACACAAATTTTAAAATTCATATTTAACCCATATAAACCTATTATTATAACCCAAATAAACTAGTCCATATGCAAATATATCCATGTACCACTATCGTAGTCATAAGTGATTTTTCATCAAATTAAAAAAGCAACAAAAAATGCTAAACTAGGGCAACTTGTTTCCCTATTGATTAAGCGGACCAAGTCACATTTGACCAATTTTTCGTTTGTGTTGTTTTTCCTTTTCGTTTTTTTTCCTTTTTTTAATCCACTCAATCCACTTGGGAAAGGAAAAAAGCTAATCTGTTGAATTAGGCCCATTTTCGCAATTAAAGCCTTGTTACTATTATTAATAACAGAAAAAAAACTCATCCAACTATTAAAAACAAAAAAAAAACAATTCATCCCCATTGATGAGAAAAAGGATAACAATAAGAATTAAATCGATGATTTAATAAAAATTGGTGTTGTCGTTGTTCTTATTTTGTAAAAGCGAGGGAGGTAGGTCCATTTGTGTTGTTTTTCCTCTTTTTCACCCCTTTTCAAACAACTCAACCTATTTAAAAAATAAGCTAAATGAGTTAATTTGCCCATTTTTTCAACCAAAGCCTGGTTAGTACTTAGTATAAGTTAAAAAAGAATGGAAAAAAATCCTCATTCAACCATTCAAAGAAAACCAATTCACCCCATTTGATGAAAAGAAAAAGATAATAATAATGAATTAAATCGATGGTTTAATGAAAATTGGAGAAGATAATAATAATAGTATTATTGTTATTTTATTTTGTAAAAGTGGGAGAGGTGGTTCGATGATAAAATGCCATCGTCATCAAAAGTCGAGGACAAAGAACAAGAAGTCAAAATCAAAATCAAATAGTCGTTAAAGTAAGAATGTGCTTAAAAAAGAACGCAATCTTATATTCCATTCATCATTACCATTTTGCTTTAATTTCTCTCTTTTATTTCTTCAATCCATAACCCCTCCATGTGTCCCCCAAATTTCCAAAAGAAAAAAGTCAATAGAGGCGCATTGAAACGAATCATCACAATAAAAAAGATCTCTAGAGTTGATAAATTTGTTTAGTTTAAGTTTTTTGGTATTGTTTTATAATTAATTACGTGAATTCCATTAAATGTATACATTCCTCAATATCAAGTTTTTTTTGTTAGGGGTATGCATCCTCTTATTATAGACAATTTTGTTTAAAATATTATCGGATATTAAATGTGAAAATCTCTCTTAGCAAGGATTCGGAATACACGACGCCTACCATTGTCCCAATTTTAATTTTTTTTTTCACTTGTTGAAAACTAATTAATAGCTTCAAATCATTAATTTTTTATTTAAGTGTTGCTTAATTAGATTGAATAAGTAATATATAATATATTAACCCTTAAAATAATCTGTTTGAAGAATGAATGTTAATTCTCATAGTTTAAAATTTTCTTTTCCCCCCTTACAGCTGCAAGTCATATTTCCACTCATACTTAACTAGCATTCTTTTGTCATGAAGCTTTGTTAGAAGGAGGTGAAATATTAAGAAGTAAATTCATGATTTAGAAATATTTTTATGTCCTCAAATAAAATAATAAAAACAATAATTATTATTATTTCGGTTCTAAATATAAAATTTAGTTTGTAGTGCAATTTACACTAAATAATTTATTCTATAAATTATATATTATATTTAGGACCAAAGTTAGTATTAAATAATAAGAAGAAAATATAGTCAATATTACATAATCTGATATGAAAAAAATAATAAAAATGATCAAATATCTACAATAAAATTTATGGCAATTTTTGCCAATCATAAATTATAAACAATACCACGCATCCCTTTCTTTCTTGCTGATTTCTTTGTTTTCTCTTGATAAGTGCTATCATTCCTAATCTATCTATTATTTTTAATTGAAATACCATATATTCCTTTCTGGTACTTTTTTTTTTTGGGATATAATACTGCTTTCTAGTGCTAAATATAATAATTAATTAAGGAATTTATTTAAAATTTAAATACAAGATTTTAATTTATTTTGTCTCTCAAATTTATAATTTTTTTCTCAAACTATTCTATTTAGGAAAAATGACAAATAAAGAAGTTGAAAAATATGATATTTCAAATTAGGCACTTAAGATTTGAAAATGACAGAGAAGAAAGTTGTGCCTAATATAATATTTTATAAATATAATTAAATGACTAAAATATCCTTATATGATAAAGTTCATAACAAGTTCTGAACTGGTAATAACAAATGTTAAATGGCAAATGACAAGAAATGTATTGATAATGACAAGTTATTTATTAACAAGTTATGAACTAGCAATGACAAGTGCTAAACAGTAATGACAAGGAATGTTCTAACAATGACAAGTTTGATAGCTTTTCTTTTCCCAAATACAATATAAAGCATTTTAGTTATTTAACTATATTTACAAAATATCATATCAGACACCACTTTTTCTCTATCATTTTAATTCTTAAGTGTTTGAATTGGGAAATGATAATTTCAAGGTTTTTTTTTTTTAATTTTCCCCTCTATTTAATGCATATATTGATATAGCTTTCATCAGAGGATAGTTTTAATGTAAATAATTAGAGATGGTATTCCTTTTTTAATATATAAATAACAAATTTAACTAATTTTTTTTAGTATATTGAGAATTAGTTATTTAGTTTATATATTACGTTTAGTCTTAAATATAAGATTAAGTTTATAATATAATTTATACTATCAACTAGTTTTTACATTTAGGAGCGGACGTAGTATTTAGAAGAAAAGAAAGTAGTATATAATTACATTTAAATTATTCATTAAAAATGAGGCATCATAAAAATGATTATACTTTAGGCAGTAAATCAATATCGCGACTATGTACTACCTTTAATGAATAAATACCATTAATTACAAAACCTAGAATACTGAAAAGAAGACACTGGTATAAAAATTAAAGATGAATTTCATTACAAAAAAGTGACAATGTTTTTTATGATATGCATATCAGTGGGTGAACTGATATTCTTTGAAAATAAATAAATAAATAAATAGAGTCAAATCACACAAAAAAGAAAATGTCACTTTTTAAACAAGGACAAATATTTAGGTTGAAAAACATGTAATTACAAAAGAAAAACAATTATTTCTGGACTTTTTCTTCAGCAATGACATGTCACCCGAAAACACGTTTTTTTTTTTGGACAATGACGTGTACCTTTTGGGTCCGTATACAGTGCTCATCAGGTGATGAGCACCCGGTGCTCATCACCTGATGAGCCATCTGGGCCGTCCAGATCTAATCTGGACGGTCCAGATTTAATATTTTAAAATAATTATTTTAATATAAAAAAAAATATTTTTAAAGAATGATAGTTAGGGGATTATCTTTATTTTTTATCCTATACCTATTAAAATAATTATTTTTAAAAAAATAAAAATAAAAATAAAATTCAATCTGGACCGTCCAGATCATATCTGGACCGTCCAGATCTGATGAGCATTGGGTGCTCATCAAAACTGATGAGCACCCAATGCTCTCCGGTACCTTTTTCCTCCCAACAATGAAGTATGTCAATTTGTTAGTCCCTCCAGTCGGATTGGATAATTAAATTTTAGAGAATAAAAAATTTAGTAAATTAATTATCATATTTTTCATTATTTGTATTGAAAACTAATCCATTAATGAACAATCCCTTTAATATATGTGCAATTAATAGAGAGATTTTAGGCTAAAAATTATAAATTTGAGATAAAAAATGGATTGATTTCTCGTATTTAAGACTAAATCAAACATCTTTATTAGCTCTTACATTTAGAAATTGAAACACAGAAACAGCATATTATTTCCCTCCTATCTTTTTTTTTTGTTTGTATTTATGTTCCTAATGAGAACTTGTTTTCTAATTTCTCTCTTCCTTTTGATACTTTCGAAACATTCATGATGTGATTTTCCTTTTAATTATTTTATAAATTGATCTTTTTATTAACAAAACACTAACTCGTTTAAAAATTAAAAATGCATGAAACTCATCAAATTGAAAACTTTTTTTTTTGAGTTACGTATAGGTATTTTCTTATTAGAGACAATTGTATTCAAGACATAGTTAGGTACTAAATGTAGACCTAGTTTCCAATAAGAATTTAAATTTTAATTTATCACGAGGAGTTAACATCTTTTGTTAGATCCAATCTTGGTTAGTAAATTAAAAACTTCAACACAACATGCTAAGTCCGCCAATCACAAATTCACAATGCCAATCAAACTGGATGATCTAAGGCCTTTTGATTTGGTTATTGGGCTTTTAGCAGTTCGTATCAAGCAGACAAGAAGCCAGCTCTACACCGTCTAGCCCAATGACAATCTCTCTCACCTGGTTCCTTTTAAAGACTTCCTCTAAAGCAAATGAGGAACAATTTGTATTAATCAAATCAATATTACAATAAACCCTTTTCTAAAGGTTGATTTATCCTAAACTCTAGGGTAATAGTTGAGGGGAGGGCCAAGTTAATCTCCCTCTTAGTGCTCCACATACTACGTGTTTATCACTAATAACAAACTAATCACTTAACCATCTAACATTACAGTCAACTTGAGTCAAGATTCAAGTAGTGTTTTTTGTTTTCATTAAAGAACTCGTTTTTGAATATAGTTAATTTTGATCAAAATTCCTAGAGATCACATATCATTGATGTAATAATGATATTTTATAACAACATTTGATTAGAGTTTATCACAACTATCCTTGACGAAAAAATTATAAGGACCTAATAATTCTAAATTGATCGCAATTGTAGGAACAAAGAAGTGTTTTCCACTTTTTTTCCTGGATTTTCAAAATAATTCAAACAAATTTTTTATAAAATTATTATATCCGTAAGAAAGTAAAACTAAAAGGAAAGTTCGTGTAATTTTTTTTATAAAGTTGTACGGTTTCTAAGTCATGGATAGTCAGTTTCATTTTACTAATTAATTAATTGTCTATAATAAAATTTGTATAAGTTGCATGTAATGCAATTTATTTTTTTAAATTCAATGCAATCTATACGTTCTATGTAAAAATTACCTCCCAAAAACTATTTATCTACTCACTTTAAGAACCATTTAAAATCTCACTATAGTAGAAAAGGAAAGCAGTTACATAAAGTTACCATAGTAGAAAGTTTGCAACTCATCCTTCGAAAGCATTCTTGAATAAAAAATTTTGAGTAATTAGAATAAACAAAACTATGTTAGAAAGGATTTAATTCCCGCTAACATGTTATGAGAAATAGGCCCCTAATTAACATAATTAACACAATTCTAAATGTCTTAAATTGGGCCTCCAAGTGTCAAACCGGGGAGTAACAGATTACCAAGCCCAAAATACAAATAGAATACTGAATAGTTGGTATCATATATCATAAATAATTAATAAGTTCCATAACAATCACAAGCAAAAAACTAAGGCCAACACGCAATCCACAATTTAGAAATCTACAAAACAAGTTTAATAATTAAATCTCTAATCAATAAAGTATGCAAAAGAAAGAGGCCCTAGGTGGCAACATACAACCCTTTAGCACATACAAAAAGACAGAGGCATTATAAGAAACTGTAAAAGCTTAGGCCTTTGGATTCTTTCCTGGTGGCACAATCCTAGAACTTTCACTTGAAAACATTAATAACCACAGGGTGAGATATAAGCCTCAATAACTAACAGTTCAGCTCCTTATACACACTAATATGTGCTCGTGAGATGTCAAGTGGGACGGTTCTGAGTAATAAGTAATAATGCACATATCTCAATATTACTATTCTTAAGCATTGTTTCAAAAGCTGGACCGGATATCAAATCAGAGAAACAAACGATTCACAATTCTTATGGTCGGACTAATGGTCGTATCGGTAATATAATAATTAAATAAAAAATATTATCTACATAATAATATAAATATTGAAATAAATATAAAAATATTAGATGACTTAAGAATCAATATAGCCAAACTGACATGTAACAGTATCAATCCCAACTCTCAATTCTTAAAACAATGAAATTATTAAAGTAAATTTTAATACCATAACTGTGACCAAAGTAAAAAGAAATAAGGTAATTGAAGAATTTCCTTTTTGCATAAAGTAACTATTACTATTAAAAATAATACTATAATATGTATATATACACAAGTCATTAAGTGGGACACCTAAGGTTAACTAAATACTAGCAAGCTCTAATAGAAGATTAACAAAATAAATTAATTTACAGCTGTTAATATAATTTTTTTCAAAATCATTTTACTACAATCGATACATGTCAGATGGGTTTTTTAACCCTCACAAGCAAGGAGTTGGTTTCTTTTCTAGTTCCACTTCCCAAGGGTGCATCGGGTGCTACTCAAAAATCAAAACAAGAGATGGCTTCTACAGAATAATGGTTTCGATAACTCTTCTTGAAGGCCCAGTCTTTCTTCTACTTTTCTTTGCATCGATGAGCATGTCTTTATAGAGTTAAGTTTTAATTTTGATGAGATTTTTTTTCTCATTCTCTTTGATAATGTTAGTTTTGATCCTATTGTTAGATTTTCTTTTTTTTTCTTTCCTTCTAATAAGTTCTTTGTCTTCTTCTTTTCTCTTCTCTGGTGTTCTTCTCTTCTGCATGTCAGGCACAAATCTTGAGTGGGCATAATGAGTTAGATATTATGGATGATTATTTTTTTCAAACATTAGTGTGAGACAGTTGGGCCGTTCGGTTTTTACAAAACCGTCCTGGCTCACGGGTTAATGTCGGCTTCTAGTCTAAATGGTGGCTGGAAGTTGCTAGAAACGGTTCAAATGATAAAGTGAGCAAACCAGTTGAAACGAACCGCAGTGGTTATCAGCCGTACCAGTCTGAGTTTTAAATCATTGTTCTCAAGGTTCAAGTTGCAATTCTAAGTCTCTTAACAATGTAATAGTGTTATCATGCAGATGTAATTCTAATGACCACATTCTCTCATTATGAGGGAAACGAGAGCCAAAATGGCTAATCTCTCACTTTGGGAGATAAACCTAAGCCAATCCCTCACTTTAAGAGATATGGATAAAGGAGGACATTTTCTCACTATGGGGGAGGCGCCGAAACCAACCATCATGCATTAATGGAGGCACTCATCACATGACGGTAATAAACACAATTCACTTACCAATGCTAACATATGCATCATGCTCAAGAAATCCAACAAGTGGTCAATTTCCAATTCCATAATCTATTTTCAAATTAAAGTCTGAAATGATAACATATTATCAAAAACCCAAAGATTGCATTTTTAAAACCTGTCCCACAAGATAGAGTCATTTCCAATATATCAACATAATTCCAAGTATATACCAAAATAGCTTTTATAGTTCCAAAGCAATAAAACTACTCATAAATAACATACTAGCATTACAATTAGTGGAAAGTAGTTATCTCTAGCTTAAGCAAGGATCAATTACTACAAACAAATTGCCTCATGCACAACAACACCAAAACAACAATCTACATAAACACACTGTTACATCCCGTCAAATTTAGCATTGATAGAAGAGATGAAAAATTTGGTTGAGGGCTAGTAGGAAAAGAACATTGGCTAAGAAAACTAAGCATGGTGTGAAACTCAAAAAGGGTCCAAACCAGTATTTTTAAATTTATCGGTCTAGAGGGCAAAACGGAAAATTTTGAAAAAAATTCTAGAAAATTCCCGAAAAATAGGAAAATTATAAATTAGAGATTTTGGAAACTCAGTTGAGACGTGAAAGGTGAAATTACAGTAAAAATAAATTTTTATGGAATTTCCCGTAAACAGAGGTTTTTGGAAAAATATTAGAAAATTGGAGGAAAATAATTATTTTAATTCATCAGAGGTCTCAATAAATTTAGAAAAAATATGGATAATTCATATAAATATTTTTTTGAATTTATAAAATTAGTTTTAGGCATTGAAAACTCAGGAATTAATTTTAGAGAATTTATTTTCTCTCAGATTTATCGATAGAGGCCTAATTGGAGGAAATTCAAAATAAATACCTAGAGGTGGTGAAAAATTCTAAAAATTTTTAGATCATATCCACATATTAAAATTCAAATTATCATGGAGAGAAATAAATTTTTAGAGGTCTGGAAAAATTATGGAATGTTACTAGTGAATAGTAACGATAAAGTTTTAAATTTTTTTGAGGTTTGAGATACTGGGTTTGTGGCCCGGCTTTTTGGATCAGACCAAACCATTTTTGGGGATCACATTGAGCCTAATAAGGGTCCAATTTTGTGCATCTTCCAGGTCCCTCTATTTTTATTAAATAAAATGTGAAATTCATGAATAAATGCTTGGAAAAATCTGGTAATTGGCCACTTGTTCAAATCTGACTTCTTCTAGCATTTGATGACTGGCACATAACCCCCGTGAGGTGGGAAATTTTGTCCAAATAGAGAGAGGGAAGGCATATCAGATTTTTCTATATATATCCCTTTAGAAAATACAAATAAATGTTGGAAAATTAGAAAAATAAGGGGAGACTTTGTCATTGTAACTCCAACTCCATTTGGAAAAAATTCTTGAGTGTTTTAGGCAAGGAATCATCCAACTTACATCAAGAAAACATCAAGGTATGCTTAAGCCTTCCTATCCCTAACCTTTAAGGTAGTTTTGGTTGAGTTTTTGAGTTGAAAAATTCAAGTGTGATGCTGCCAAATTTTGGTATTCATGGAAGGTTTAAGGAAGGATAGAAACCTTAAATACCAAGTGGAATAAGTAAGATTAAGTGGTGTATGGATTGGTTTTAGAAGAAAATCCACATAGGGTTTTAGAGCTTCAATTCGGCCTAGCATTGTTCATATAGAAGCAAATTGTTTTGATTGATTTGATGATTCCAATGGTTTAAAACATGTTTTTGTGTAGGGGTATGTTGTTGGAAAATGTTTAAAATCATTGGAATCAAAAATAGAATTTTTGGAAGTTATATACCCCTATTCGGCCAAGATGAATTCATAGGGAAGGAGTTTGATTTTCAAAAATCTGATTCTATATTTGAATTCCTCATGAACAATTATGTAAGAATGCGTCAAGAGGTTATTGATTCTAAAGAAAGAATCATTTTATTAAAAATCAAGGAAAAAGGGGTTTAATTGAGTTTAATGTCAGCCATTATATTTATGCTTGAATTATTGATAAATTGGAATGTGTTTATGCATGAATTGATAGACATTGAGCAAGAGAACAAGAAGGAACCCAAAGGAATTGAAGAGGTCAAATTGGTTCAAGTATAAAGGAGGTAGCTTTGAATCTAATTTGATTGTTTTTCTTACTTACATAATGTGCATATGTTGCTTGCTTTATGTTTCTATGCATTGATTAATTTATACTATAGTATGGAATGCTTTTTGATATTTGATATGCTTTGGCCAAATGCACATGGATATGAAATGTGAATATGTACTAATTTCCTTGATGGAATAATGTGCTATTCATGGTCTTGAAATTGACTATTATGCATTGTAATATATCACATTTTGTGGAGCTTGATTGACATGATAATTATGATTCATTGCTACTGAGATTTCTATGAAAGATCACCCCCTCAATGTATAAACAATATAGGAACCTCAAGTGGTGTTGCCAGGGGCAAGGAGCAAAGGATTGGAAGTCATATTGGAAGAATTTTAAACTAAAGGTTATTGAAGTTATGATTTGTAAATTATTATGGGTTGTTATGTATCATTGTAAATGATGTTGAAATATTATATTACTGATTAAGGATACTTTATTTATGGATAATTGACTAAGGGATTATGTCTATGCATCTGTTGCATGATTGAAAAAGCTAGATGAAAGGAAAAGAAAAAGAAAAGACAAGAATGGTATGAAAAAAGAGATAAAAGTTGACTTTTTGGGAGCAAAGTTTGACCAATGTGATTTTGAGCAATTGGATGAATCTGGATCTAAAATTTGACATAATTATAGATCTCATTTTTAGCTTTAAAAAAAGTGATAATTCATTAAATTCAGAGTTTTGTACAGAAAGTTATGCCCTTCCAAAGTTGGGCATAAATCCTAAAAAATTAAAAAATGACCAAATAAACAGTACCACTTTGAACAAAATCTGAGAATAGACACACACACACATCCCAGCCCCCATCTTTGTCACCATAGACGCTCTCTTTGCCGTTTCCAATAAGTTAAACTCCAACTTAAATAGACACACACACACATCCCAGAAGAGTGACAGATCCATGTTGAGAAGCTATAGTTTTTGATTTCTATCCCATTAAAAATAATATTTGTAGAAATTTTGCAAAAGAAATTTATTTTGGAATTCTCATGTCTTTGCAATTGTTTCATTGCTCATTGCCGTTTTGACGTCGTGATGCTTTGCTCACTGACGGTGACCGCTATTGATGGACTGCAAGGAAGCTTTATGCCTTCAACCGTATTGCTAACACCACCGTCGACTCCATAGGAAGTCCAAGAAGGCAAGAACACTCATTCTTCTCTCACACTGCACTCCTCCCTTCAATTTTTTCTTATTTGGGTTTTCAAGAGCCTGTCATAGTGGCTCCTTCACTCTAGCTATGACTCCTCCAATGTTGCCGCTTGTTGGACTGGTCCTTCTATGATCTTTGCTTTGTCATATGACTCACTTCCCACCTACTACTCCTGCTATGTCCCTACTGATCTTCTTCGTGACCAGATTGTAAGTTGTCGCCGTGAATGAGGGTGGAGAAAGAGAGACGTTGCTACTAGGGGTGAGTGGGGATAGATGGCCGTAAGGATGGGGGCCAGGAGATTCGGCAGTGTGAGAAAGAGGGAGAAGAGGGCAGGTGTAGAGGAAGCCATAGTTGTGGACTGTGGTCTGAATGGAGAGGGAGGGGGACAAAAAACAGATGTTTTTGGGAAAAGAGATAGAAATGACAAATGAACTTCATAATGCTAAAAAGGCTTGTTAAATTTGAGAAATCCCAATTTAGTGTCAAGAGACTAATTTGGCATTTATAAGTTTGCTGAAATGACCATATTACACTTCATTTTATTTATTGTTTTTAAAATACCAAAGCCCCCATTGGCTGGCTGGTCACCGGACCGACAATTGGTCATTGAGCTCTGTTGGTTGGAAACATTTTTTTAAAAATTTTTACAACTTCATTATAATGGTTAACAACTTTTGTATCACTATTAACAATTTCAATATAGTAGTTAACAACAGGTTTTTTGGGAAATTTAACAAACTTTGGCGGCTAGAAACAATTTTTTTGAAAATTTTTACAACTTCAATATAGCAGTTAACAACTTATATCAATCAACCTATAGGAATCCATGATGGTCTCCTAATTACAACAATTGATTATAAGCCCTAATGTTCTCAATCTAAATTCACCATAAAAAATACCCAAATATAAAAATCAATTCAAATTAAAATTCTAAACCGATTAAACCTTAATGCTAACTCATATTAACATACCGCAACCATCAAACTCCTTTTTAAATCATTACAATATCATTAACCATCATAAACCTCCCAAAAATCACAAACCCTAGGTCCAAAATTCCTCCAAATGTCAAATCCAAGAAAACTAAATCGACTAAACACTTAGACTAGTCCATAAAAGTCTTTTAAACTCAAAATAATCAATCAAAACCTCAATCCCTTTGAAATCATTGAAGAACCCTAAGATTCAACTATCTAAATCTTGAAAAATCTAAGAGAAAAGAGTAGAAATGAGATTAGAAATACTTACTTTGATGTTTGGAAGCTTAAATATACTCTAAAGGATTGAAATCTACAAGCCCTAGCAGAGCTCCAAGGTTCCACTACCCTAACTCATCTGGAAAATGTGATTGTAACTAATTTTAAAAACTAATTTGTGACGTATTCGCCATGGGTTGGCCACAGCGAATCCACAGCCAATGGCACTTAAAAAGCGCCCTTTCTGCCAAGCCAGTCGCTGTGGCGTTGGCTACAACTAACTCACAATGAAAGTCACACAGAAAGAAAAGACTTAACTTTAAAAATTTATAACTAAGTCCACATATTGCCAAAAATTACAAATTAGTACTCTTTAGAAAGCTTGAGATGTCTATTTTCAAATTCAAAAAGAATCACCTAAAGATAAGATCAATTGGCCCTTCAAACTTCCTGATTTCCAAGACTGCTAAAAAATATCTAAGGTCATGCATGGCTCTTGTCACGTCCTAAAAAATTAACCCTAGCAATGGATATGAAAATTTAAGTCAAGGACCAATATGGAAGGTAAACTAACTAACAAAGTCAGGCATGACATAAAATCTGAATAGGGTCTAGATTAATATTTTTAGAATTATAAGTCTAGAAAGGACAAAATGGAAAAATTTGAGAAAAATCCTGAAAAATGGTAAAAAGGTAAATTAGAGGTTTTGAAACCTCAATAGAAGCTCTAAAGGTGAAAATGGTATAAAAATAGTTTATTATAGAATTTCCTGAAAACAAAGGTTTTTCGGGAGAAATAGTAAAAATTGAGTGAAAATAATTGTAATAATTATTTAGAGGCCTCAATAATTCTGAAAAAATGTGAAATAATTATATAAATATTTGATTGAATTTATAAAATTATATTTAGGCCCTGAAAGTACAGGAATTAATTTTGAAAAATTTATTTCCAAAAGTCTTACCGATCAAGCCCTATTAAAAGGAAATTCAAAATAAATAGTTAGAGGTGGAGAAAAAAATCTAAAATTTTTCAGATTGTATTCTTATATTAAAATAGGATTTTTCATGGAGAAAAATGTGTTTTTGGAGGCCTAAAATAATTATGAAAAGTTGCAAGTGAATAGTAACCGATAAACTTTAATATTGGCTGAAATTGATATCTAAATGGTAGGCCATGTTTCTTGGACACTTCCAGCCCAGAAGTGGACCCCACATTGGGCCAAAAAAGCCTAAAAATTCGTGCAAGTCCATGGCCCAACATTTAAATAAGGTTTAAGCCCAAATAAACCCTAAAAATTTATGGAATATTCTTAGAATTTTATATATGGCATGATCTGAAAATAAGATGCATGTGATGGCAACCACTTGTCCCCTTAAGTGGCACAAGATCACACCATTCATGAGGGAAGGAAGTCAAATTCTATGCCCTATAAATACCCCCTAAATTCCATTCAATTCGGCCAAATAGGGAGCCATAAGGGGAGGTGTTGTCAAATTCAATTCTTGGTTTGGAAGAAGAGTGTTTAACCATGTAGTTTCAAGAAAAAACACTAAGCTTTGATCAAGGATTCATCAAGGTAAGTTTAAGCTTTATTATGGTTAAGATTAAAGCTTGTTTTGGTTGGGAATTTGAGTTGTTTTCCAAGGTGAAGTTGCTGTCCATTTTCAGTTAGAATGAATATGCATTAGGGAAGGATAGAAGACTTGAAAATGAGTTGGAATTATCATGTTTAAATGGTGTTTAGATTGATTTTTGGAAGAAAACCCAGTTAGGGATTTTATATATACAATTCGGCCAACGTGTGTTTTTGGGGTAGTAGTTTGTTTTGCTGTAATTTGATAATTCCAATGAGTTTTAAAGGTGTTTTTGTGTAGGAAAACACCAAGAAAAAGTGTTTAAAATAATTGGAATCAAAAATGAAATTTTTGAAAGTTATACTACCCCTATTTGGCCAAGTGTAAATGGAAGGGAAGGAGTGTGATTTTGACAAATCTAAATTGATATTTGGATTCTATATGAAAAATTATGTAAGAATGAGCTAAAAGATTGTTGGAATCAAAAGAGGAATAGTTGTCTCAAAAATCAAAGAAAAGGGGGATTTAATAAGGTTTAAGGCTAAGTGTTTGTATTCAAACTTGAATAGTTGCTAATGTGGCTTGTAATTATACTTGAATTGATAGGTTTTGTGGAGAAGAATCAAGGAAAACCTTAAACCCTTGAGAAGGCTGAATTGGTTCTAGCATAAGAGGTAGCATTGAATATGCAATCTGATTGTTTTCCTTGCTTGCTTTATATTGGTTGAGTTATGTTACGATAATGGTTTATTGTGTGATGCTTGATATGCTTTGAATGGTATGCCAATATGGTTATGTGCTTGTTTTCTTTCATGGCCTAATGCATGACATGTGATTTGAGGATGTCTTGAAGTATTGTAACAAAATACATTAT